ATATCAACCAAAAATCCAATATTGTGCATCCCTAATTCTAATGTTTTTTAAACAAAAGCACTGTGGTATGATTTTGCATGTTGTTGCTGTTTTCAAGACTCATGTTTGCTGTTGTGATACCTCCATCTTTTACAGACAAAAGTCACTGTCTGAGTTAACTTAATAACAGACTCTCATGCTCATTTAATGCAGCCACACCATACATTAATGTCTGAAATTTATGACTCGTATACATGATATAATAATTTATCTTCTACACAGTTGTAAAAAAAAGTAAAACAAGTTTAAGTAAGGTTTCACTGTTTGTGGGCTATCTTCATCTTCTATTACTTATCCGTTTGGTCGCAGAGGCAACAGGTCCAGGAGAGAAGCTCAAACGTCTCTCTCCCCAGCAACATATTCCAACTTGTTCTGGGGGACCCCAAGACATTCCCAGGCCAGAGAAGATACACAATCTCTCCAGTGAGTTCTGAGTCTTTATCGGGGTCTCCTACTGGTGGGACGTGCCCGGAAAACCTCTAAAGGGAGGCATGGCATCCTAATCAGATGCACAAACCACATCAACTGGCTCATTTTGATGCAGAGAGAAGTGGCTCTACTCCCAGCTCCCCCAGATGAGGGAGCTCCTCACCCTAAGGCTAAGCCTGGCCACCCTGCGAAGCAAGTCCATTTCGGCTACTTGTATCTGGGATCTCATTCTTTCGGTCTTGATCCAAATTCAATGACCAAAGGTGAGGGCCATAATGTAGACTGACCCGTAAATCTACAGCTTTGCCTTTCAACTCAGAACTTTCTTCACCACAACAGACTGAAGCAATGCCCACATTACTGAGGATGAGGCCCCAACCTGTCAATCCATCTCACGCTCCATTCCACAGTCAGTCATGAACAAGATGTCCAGATACTTAAACACCTGAGGCAAAGTGTCCTACCACAACCATTATACTGTATATGTGTGGTATGTGTGTATAAATTATTTTTTCTTTACTTCTTCTTTCGGCTGTACAAGAATTGCCACATCAAACTAATTTTGCACAAGACTTGGCAATTGTTTTTACACCAGATGCCCATCCTGATGCAACCATAGACCACTGAGCTACCACAGCCCTCTGTGTGGAACAGAGAGCTGCCATCTAGGGCGCACAGGGGAGCAGATGGTGGGTGTTATGGGCCTTGCTCAAAGGCCCAGAGTTGGGCAAATGAGGGGGGAGGCAGGTGTGGGTGTTTAACATTTCTCACCCACATATTTTTCATGTCGGTCCGAGGGATCGACGACACCTTCCGATCACAGTCTTGCCTTCTCTAAACTCTGCGCCAATACCCCTGTGTGTGTGTGTGTGTGTGCATGTGTGTGTGTGTGATTGGAAGATCAGAAGTTTGACTCCCGGTACCGGCAATATCAAAATGTGGATGGGAAAGGTGAAGCACCCACACCTCCCTCCACCCTCATTTTTCCCATTCTGGGCCCTTGAGCAAGGCCCTTAACCCCCACCATCTGCTCCCCCGGGTGCCCTAGATGGCAACTCTCTGCTCCACACAAAGGGCTGTGGTAGTTTGGTGTCTGTGGTTGCGTCAGGAAGGACATCTGGTGTAAAAATAATTGCCAAGGCTTCGTGTGAGTTAGTTTGTTGTGGCAACCCCTGATGAAGGGCCATATATATAAATACAGTATATATACTGTATATATATATATATATATATATATATATATATATATATATATATACACACACACTGTTTATCCTGGCTTTCACTATATAAGGCAGACTTCATACATGGATTTGTGTGGATGAGCAGTTTGCTGATGTCAGTGTTGTGAAAACTGAGTGGTCCATGGTGGCGGTGAGATTATGGTATGGACAACAAACACAGGGGCTTGTGTGGTTACACATTGTCTGTGGTTGTGAGGCCAGTTGAATGTACTGCCAAATTCTCTGAACATGGACATTCCTGCAGTCAGAATGCTAATTGCATACTCCCTCAAAACTTGTGACATCTGTGGCATTGTGCTGTGTGATAAAACTGCACATTGTAGAGTGGCCATTTATAGTGACCAGCCTGAGGCTCACTTGTGCAATAATCATGCTGTCTAATCAGCATCTTGATTTGCCACACCTGTGAGGTGGATGAATTATCTCGGCTAAAGAGAAATGCTCAGTAACACATACATGCACAAGTTTATGAACAATACCACCACAACAACAACAGAGGTTGGGGGTTTTAGACCTCAGCAGTTTAGGAATAAACTTTGCAGCCTTTCACTTCCTCTGGATGGTATTAATTTGTGCTCCAGTTCTAAAGTTAAAAACACTGGTGTTATTTTTGATCAGGACATGTTTTTTACACCCCACATTAAAAATGTTACCAGAGCTGCCTTCTTCCACCTGTAAAATATCACTTAGACTAGAAACATATTGTCCAAAAATGAGGAAGTGAAACTGGTCCATGCATTTGTCACATCTAGACTGGACTATTGCAACGGTTTATTATCTGTGTGTCCAAATACTTCTTTAAAACGTCTTCAGTTGATCCAAAATGCTGCTGCCAGAGTCTTAACTGGAGTTAGTATAGGAAAGATCATGTCTCTCCAGTTTTAGCTTCTCTCCACTGGCTCCATGTCTAATTCAGAATATAATTCAAAATCTTACTTCTCACCTACAAAGCGCTCAATAACCTAGTTCCATCTTACATTACAGATCTTTTTTTTTTCATTCATTCATTCAACCTTTATTTAAACAAATAAATCACATTGAGCCTCGAAGACTCATTTACAAGTGAGACCTCTTTGGACAGACAAAAACAGTGGTTAACTGGACACATGTAGGACTTGGAGGCGAAAAAAATTCCTATCAGATTTTTTTTCTTGCCTGAGAAAAAAACCCTGTTGTTCCATATTTTCCAAACAGAGCACTTCACTCTTAGACTGCAGGTTTCCTTGTGGTTTCTATAGTTTCCAAAAGCGTAATGGGAGGAAGATCTTTCAGTTATCAGGCTCCTCTCTTGTGGAACCAACTTCCTGTTTCTGTCTGTGAGGCTGACACATTGTCCAGTTTTAAGACTGGGATTAAGACTTTCCTTTTTGATAAATCCTATAATTAGGGTTTTGCTTGGGTTTCCTGAGCTATTCCTTAGTTCTGCTGCTATAGGCTTAGACTGTTGGAGGACAAATTGACCACATTTACTCACTCTGCTGCTGTCTTCACTTGCTCAACTCGACCTGTTTTGTATTTATAATTATTTCTATCTTAACATGTGTTTTTTGTTTTTCCTCCTGTAGAAAGTACATCTGGACCTGCCATTCTGTGACCGTTTCTCCTTCCTGTTCCTCTCAAACCCACCTGGCGAAGCAGATGACTGCTTGTCCTGAGCCTGGTTCTGCTGGAGGTTTCTTCCTGTTAAAAGGAAGTTTTTTCTTTCCACTGTCTCCTTTGTGTTTGCTCAGGACGGGAGACTGTGGCGAAGTGAAGATTCAACACAATCTGCTGCTTCCTGAGATTGATAACTTTTACTAATTGGCTTTTTTATATGTGTGAATGTTTTTGTGCAGTGCTCTGAGACAACTTCTGTTGTGACTTGGTGTTTTATAAATAAACTGAAATGAATTCAATTGAACTGAATAGTTGAGAAATAAAAGGCCTATAGTGTACATAGAAAAAGTCTTAAATCTTTGAGTTCAGCTCATGAAAAATAGGAGCAAAAACACAAGTGCTGTCTTTATATTTTTGTTGTATATGTATATAATGCAATTTAGTCAATACATTATACTTTCACATGGCTTTTTTACCGTAAAGGTAAGTGTAAGACTAAAATTCACAATTGTGTCAGAGACGGCTTCAGCATTATGGTAACTAAATCATCAGTTAATACAACATTATTCTAAATGTCTTTCAGTTTACAGGTTGTGCCAATGAAAACTGAAAGACATTTAGGTTTTTCTTTTTGCGTAGGAGACAAATATTTCCTATTCCTTACCTCTCTGAGAAAGGATCAGCCACGTTCATGTCATGGCTGGACACTTTCATCTCACTGATTCTGATTTTATCCACTTTGTTGTTGATCTGAATGGAGTAATAGATGAAGAACCGTCCGTTGTTTCTATACTTGGGATGAAAGGCCATGCCCAGGAACCCCCTCTCATCCCCCAGCCAAGGTGTTGTCAGTACCTCTCCACTCATATCCAGAAAGGGCCGCTCCAGCCGGCTGCCGTCACGTAGGTAAACCCAGACAAAGCCCATCTGCTCAGCGATGAACATCCTGTGTGTGTCGTCACTGCTGTGCAGCATCAACACTGGGTTCCTGAGATTGTTGGCCACTTCAGTCAAACACAGCTGCAGACACCCTTTGGGGTCCTCCGCAAATTGTCCCAGGTTGCTGTTGAGGTCAGTACTGTTCAGAACGTTGGGGTAACAGTAGTCCTGATCAGAAAGCTCCACTATGCTGCAGAACGTGGCCATGGCCCGCTCAGACGTGTCCAGCAGTACTTGGTTCACAGTTAAATATTTAAGCACATGGCGACACTTGCTGTGAAATTCAGAGCAGTAGCCAAAGCAGAGCCCTGGTAGGTCTCTGACAGGCGTGTAGGGATCCTCAGCATCATACAGATGGGCAGCATAAGGAGAGCACTCCTGAATCAGAAAAAGAAGATATTCTGTACACACTGAGATGACAAAATGATGTAACAACGGCCTAAAGGTGGACATTACACTCAATTATCGAACAGAAATGTCACCATAGCACACAATTTTACATATAGTATATCCCTGATTCCAAAAAAAGATTTAGAGATTGCAAACTACACCAATTTTAAATCTCATAAACACATATTTTATTCACAACAGAACATAGTAAACACTTTTTTAAGGAAAGTTTGTATTTTAATGTAGCAACACATCAAAACAGTTGGGACAGGGGCAAAAAAAGGCTGTTAGAGAAAGACGTACACACAAGAAACAGCTGGAGGAGCATTTAACAACTATTTAGATTAATTGGCAACAGATTAGTAAGAGGACTGGAGATAAATAGAGCATTTCAAAGAGTCTAACTTCTCAGAAATAAAGATGGGCAGAGGTTCACCAGTCTTAAAAAAGAGACTTTGAATATCTTTTGATCAGTTCATAATGTTGAAAGATTTCAAGACAATGGAGAAAGTTCTCTGTGTGCAAACAACAAGGCTGAACGCCAACACTGGATGCTTATGATCTTCGGGTCCTCAAGTGACT